GTGCTGGCAGGCTTGCACGGGCACCGTGGCCAGACCGTGGCCCTTTAAGTGCTCCAGGGCCAGGAGGGGGGCAGAAGAGTTTCCCCGGCTTGGCCCAGAGTGGCCATCAGGGCAAGCTGGGAAGAGCTAGCCTCCAACTAGTTCGAATTAAGTGGCTACACAGCCCTTAATGCGAACTACTTAATTCAAACTAGGCGTTACTCCTTGTAGAATGAGGTTTACCTAGTTCGAATTAAGTTCGAACTAGCGGTTTGTATGTGTAGAGCCTATGAAAGTTAATTCGAACTAAGAGCTGTTAGTTCGAATTAACTTTGTAGTGTAGACATACCCTCAGAGACTTGGGTTTTTTTTTTAGCCCTGGCCTTGTCTATAGATCGTTATGTTCATGGTCTTCCCAGCCTCTCTCTTTGGGGCTTCTGTCAAATTTCTCCCTTTTTGGCACAGAAGACCCTTATTACATTCTGATTGTTACCTCAGACCAAATGCAGCTTTCAATCAGCTTCGCTGCCAGTAGACCCTTTACCCCACATCCTTTTCTCCCTGAACTGGGAAATGTCAGCAAGTATTAACCTTCCACAGCTGGTGTCTCTAGGCTCTGAAAAAGAGGCAGCATAGATACAGCCTTCTTTCCCAGAGGTGCTAAGGGTTGGTTGGGAGAAAGGGGAACCCTGCTACACATTCTCTACAAAGGTGCTAGTTTTCTCCTTTAATAAAGAACAACATAAGTTATGGGGAGAGAAAAAATGTCCCAAACAATCTGTTTCCTGGACCACTTTTTCTCTCTCTCTTTATGTCTTTACAGTTTGGTAACCAAGGGTCTAGAGAAATGATAAAGGAGCCTCGGTGTAGTGCAGGGTTGGAAGGCCCCGCAGGCTTGCACTAATAAGCAGCCAGATTTATCTTTGTCACAAGAATAAATTTAAAATATGGATAATTTTTGTATGCACCATATATGGCATCTGATTTGTTAAATATACAGGCAACCCTTGGACTTACAACACAATTGATTCCTGAAAATTGCATTATAAACTGAAATGCCGTAACTCAAAACCGCAATCCACTCTGTTGTGGGACTGAGTGCAGTAAAGCTGAAACCAACATCATAAGTCAGATCAGGCTGTCAATTCAGAAATGTCATAAGTGCCATTGACCAACAAGTCGAATATCCTAAAGTCAAGGACTACTTGTCCCCCACTTTCCTTCAAGCCTTTCCATCATTAATAGGACAGTTTCATGTATTCATCACTAAAGAAGTAAGACTCTTAAGAAAGGTTGATTGTGTGGCTGGGCAGCCATTCATTAAATGTCTAAAAAGTCACTATATCATGTGACCTAGAAATTATTTTTACTTGCAGATAAAGGCATTGGTTAAAAAGCATACTCTAGCCTCTTGGTTCAAAACTCCCTTTGTCAATGTAAGTTCCATTATTATGAGAGGAGAGACAAGGACACAATACCCACCAACCATCCTAGTGAAGCCTACCTCCTCCTTTCAATGCTCAGTTTCACATCCCAAAATATCCCTGCTATTCCAGGCTCCCCTCTCCAGCTCTTCTACTGTTCCCATGCAGTCTCTAATCTCAGGACTAACACCTTCACTCACTCTGACCTTAGTCCACATACAACTTTCCTCCCCACTCTCATGGCAAGAATCCATGCAATCTAAACCAAAGCACAATCCTCTGCCCAGACACGGAGACAGAAAGACACACACCCACCCACACCAATTTGAAATGAGTTACTGGATTACAAATAACAATGTTTAGATGCTTTTCTTATTTGTTAAGCGGGCTAGGTCTAGAACAGGATGCCTGCATTTGTTCATATAACGACTTACTGTAAAGTCACAGCCAGTGCAACTCTTGATTTCATCTACTGACAGTCCTTCCCAGATTTCAATCAGAGTCAGTCCCTTTTTCTTGTCGACATCAAAAACAGCCTGTCAGATTCAAATCAAATATGTCATTTTTAGTGTAAGACGAAATAATGAGGAAATAACTATTCATTTAATAAAAATGGTGAGTTGAAATATGTCCATTTTCTTATATACAACTATCAAGTAAATACCAGTATAATATTCATTAGTACTTGAAAGAATAAAAATAAAACAGGGGAGTTAATATAGTGAGAGTATGTACCGGTTATTCTTTGCGGCTGTGTCTAAAATACACCTCTCTGTCAGCAGAGGGATGTAAATTAGACTTATCGCAAGTGCAAATTAAGACAGGATTTAAATATCCTGTGCTTCATTTGCATAATGGCGCCACTGCTTTTTTTCAAAATGGGGCTTTTCGGAAAACCCCGTCAGTTTCCAGGATCTTTCGAAACAGGGCATTTCTGTCGAAAATGCCACATTTAAACTGCTGGGTTTTTTTCGAAAAGCCCCGTCTTGAAAAAAAGCCGCAGCCACCATTATGCAAATGAAGCACAGGATATTTAAATACCAGTTTCATTTGCACTTTCGATACATCTAATTTAAACCCCCCCATGCCAACAGAGGGGTGTAGTTTAGAGGTAACCTGTATGAATTCAGCTCTCTTAGGCAAATTGGTACAGATGGGACCTATACCTTATTGGGCAATTTTGTTGTCGTGCTTGTTTGGGAGCAGACAACTGGCAGAGGGATTGTTTGCTTGCTTGCTTGGTTTTTAACATTAGGTCAGAAGTGAAAAATCAAATTTCATTGTTTGAAGAGTCCACGGATGATTTTCTCCACTGTCAAATGCACCATCCAATTTTGTACAACTTTGATTATTTTGGGAGTCCAAGGCTCCCAATGAAGCAGAGTCTGGGTTTGGTTTTGTTCTATATAAAATACCCATGATAAAGTGGCAAAGTTTGTGTAAAGGAGCAAGGACAACGCCTTCTGAAGCACTGTCTGGCACTCTGTGTAGTGGTTGGGTAGTTCTATAGCTCATGGCACCCTGAATGAATGAATGAATGAATGAATGAATGAATGAATGAAGGCTGTTTCTGTATTTCCACAAAAGCAAAAAACAGGTATAGTGGGATTTAATGGGTGTCTGCCAGAGAGTTACACTAGGTGCACGCTAGTAACCAATAAAACTCACTATATCTAATCATTTTCCCAGAGAAAGGCAGTTAAAGGAAGTTGTTTAATTTGGAATCCAAAGGACGTCACAGGCTGACACAGGAGTGCACTGACGCTCAGAATGAAGGCTTAATTATCCTTCCCTGGGGCATATCAAGCTATACATTCAATTTACAAGATTACAAAGGTATAGCATCCCTAAATCTCAAGACTGGAGGTAAGAAACACTCACTTTAGGATGTTGATTTAGAGATGGTTAAAGTTTCCAATTAATGGCATTGATAGTTTAGTGTATACGTAAGAGCCATTTCTTTCAGGAATATGTATATAGGTACACATAGGATCTCTGTCCAGGGCTCGTTGTTGTAAAAAATTCTCAATGATTCTTGTTTTTTCTCAATTTTTGTTTAACTTTCCTTTTCAACTACACAATTGTGTGTAGCCTATTACTAGAGTCAGAATATAAATATGTTTCACCTTTCATTTGTTTTCCTCAACCTTGTGGAGAAAGATTTAAGATAATAGCAATATACTACTGTGGGAAAATGGCATTTAACATGACTTCCCTTGAAGCACACTACTTAGTATAGTAAGAAGGCCCTCACAGAGACTACCCTTAGCCTTCAAAATGTAAACATTTATAATAAAAGAAATGTGGCTGCAGCAATGACTTAATTTTCTCAGTTTCTATGGAAAAGGTCCACTGAACTACTTTGTGCAGCAAACCATTTGGGTCTCAGTTCATCCTTCCTTATTCACACTGAGTAGTAACTTACTTTGCAAGCAGTCCCATTAAAGGTGGAGAGCAGATGCTACTTGTAATACTATCAGAGGCATTTGAAACCAGTCTGTTTGAAGACCTAGCCCCGTATGTTTTTATGCTAAATGATTACATTTTTAAAAAGAAAACTGAAACCTAACCTCTTGAGTCCACCTCCAAGGAGGTCTATCCTTTTCATCATTAAGTGATGCTGCATATCACTCATGTGTGCACTAAATGAAAGTTAAATACAATTTGTTGGCACTTTCTAAGGAGAAAAAAAAAGACTGGAAAAGGACAAAGGAAATGTACTTTACCTTCTCTGTAATGATCCGATTTACACATTGTTTCCCAGTGAGTGGCAAATTGCATTTTTCCATAATTTTGTGGACATTGCCCTGCATTTAACAACAGACAAACATTAGCTTTCAAGAACCAATTCCTCTTGTTCAGAAGTCAGAAAAGGTCAAGAAAATGAGTCCCTTAAAGCTTCACTGGTATAAGCACTCTGCATGCGTGAAACACACACTGTAGTCAGACCTCTCATGCCGGAGTCTGTTCCAATGGCAGATTATATCTGATCTCATATACTTCGTGCTTGACTGTTTCTTAGATCACAGACTCATGAGGAGGAGTAAAAGGGAATAACAACCTCTTACATGTATGAAAACCAGGCTCAGCAAGCTTCTTAGCTGTGGGTCTTTATTTCTAGAGTCTCTTTTACAGAAAGGATGAACGTTTGCAAGTATATCCACCAGTTATGGAGAAATTCTTCCTTCCCATCATTCTCCTACTGATACAGGGGTCTCTATACTGATGTGACCATCCATCCTTATTTGCTGAGGATTTGGCAGCAATCCCCAGACTAAATCTACCAGGAATACATGAAGTTTCTTTGTGAAAGTGTTACTCTGTCATGTACTTCTACAGTGGCATTTCTCATCCCAATTCATAATGGCAAACTAGAGAGAAATGCCCATCTCCCTCCCATCCTGTAGGCTTCCAGAATCAGCCCTATCATGGAAAATAATTAAAGAAGGTCACTGGCTGAGGGCATGCTATTTCTGACATACTTATCTATATACAGTAATTACAGAGTCTGATGCACATGTAACCAATTCCAGCCCCTAGGAGGCTGTACCCACAGCCAAGAATAGTTTTTCATATAACCAAGTGCAGTCCCTCTAACCAACAGATTTCATGCTCGCCCTTTCCCCAGGGCTATGAATACCAAAGTCCAGAAACAATGGAGGTGAACAACCATTCAAAAATGTTATCTGGAAACCACATAGTTTCACTCTTAGAACGTTAGCCTGCAAATATTATCGAAAGGAATCGGTTTAATTTCCTTTGGGGACACTATGTGTTGGCTGAACCATGAGATATCCTATTAAATTAATGTAGGCAGAAACTGCTTTGAATGAACGTAAATGGACAGATCATTGCCCTTGGATTACTAGTTGTAGGTATTTTGCAGAAGTAGCAGTAAGCATATACTCTAGTAATACCACACTCTTGTCACTTGATATCTTATCGTTTTTCTTTTTTAAATTTCAAAAGAAGATCTAGAGTGTTGCAAGTCTAAATTAATCAGCTGCACTCAGTGATGAATTTTCTGAGTTCTACAACAGTCAGTTATCCTTAAGTCTAAAATAGATTGAGCAGCCGTACCTCAGCAGAATCAATTCCTGGATGCTGACAAAATGAGCAATCTGTGTGGTTGTGAAGATTTTTTTCCGTAAGGAACTATTGCTTCATGCTGATTTATATCGGCAAGATCCACATCTGACATCAAGGCAACTACTCAGATAAAACTGACTCAGTCTAAATGAAAATAATGAGTTGAGACAGACAGCATTGCTTTCAAATAATCGACTTGTGTCGTCTCTATCTCAAGGACCTTCTGGTATTCTGTTCTCATAACAGCCAAGATTGATCTGCACTACTTTAAAAGTTTTCAGCAACATAGCAAGAACGCCATTAAGGTCATGTAATATCTCCTCTTGGTATCCTATGGAGACTGAAATGTGCAGGCTTGCAGAGATGATAGTTTGAAGAGAGCCTTAGTAACCCTGAGAACAGATGCAGCATTTCAGCTCCTTGAACAGTTCAGATGAAAATGATTTTATTGCTGCTTAGCATTTGAGCTGGTTATTGGCATCCACACACCTCCATCCACACCTGAGGGTCCATGCCAGACTGCGAACTCAAATGGGATGATCGGATTTGTTAGTATTTAAAAGGTGTTGATTGGGTAAGAGAGGGGCATGAGAGTGCATTGGACCTCCCCAAATCTGTTCTAACACATGCTAAAACATTGTTTTACTGAGTCACACATTTGTTCTTTGAGAGCAAATAAGTCATGGATCTACCACTATGTATCAAAATAAGAACAGTCCACAGCAGAGGAGTAATGGGATGTAACATAGGGTAATGGGATGTACTTTTCAGCTCTCGGTCACCTGTGTCAGTTTGGCCCCCTGCCAAGGGTGACTGATATCAGTTACAATCTCTTTGTTCAATGGTTTGCACTGGCAGTCTCCATCCAACTCCTGCTTCAGAAAGGCACCACTGCAATGCTGCTATATACAATTTTTTACTATTCTTAGTGACAAAAAAAAGTCTTTATACCCACTCAGTTGTTGACCAAACTTGATTTTTATTATTCTTGGGTGGGGTAATGCATGTTTCCCCAAATTAACATTGCCTCATCTGTGCCTGTTTGGTGGATAAATAAAAGGTCACTCTCTGGCCTTTACAAGCAAAAAAGTAACTCGGGGGAAAAAGGATAAAGGAATTGCTGTCAATTACTACTTAAACAACAGTAAAACAGTTTTATCAATTTTCTTAATATATGCCCTGTCAATCAGCACTCAATGGCGAGAAAATACCTAGCATTCAAGTACTTACCAAAGTTTAAAGGAAGATGTATAAATCCACATGGAGATGCTGGTTGCTACTTTATAATGAACACTGAGTTCTATCTTACGCTTAGTTCAGGCATTCAACTTCTTTGTATGTATGAAAAATACAGCAAGTTGTCTTCAAAAGTACAGCACTTACTGTTGAGTACAGAACAAATTTTCTGAGAATTTACAAGTATATCATAACAACCTGGAGGTTTTGTGAGTCATCACTATAGCCGAAGATGTAAAAAAGCAATTTAAACTGGTTATAAAATAAAAAGTTTAAAGACTGAGCTAAATTCGTGGTCTAATGTATCAATCATGGAATATCTACTTGTGGCAGATATTAAGTATAGTTACGATGAGAAAAAACCATCATACTACGTCTAAATCCCCTTGAATTTTGGGACAGTTCAAATCTACATGTGAACTCTTGGGGTATTCTCCAATATTAAATGTCTGCCACTTCTTCCTTCAAATAGTTTAAGAGAATATAGAATGAAAAAATAATAGCTTCAACTGAAAAATAACTAGATTACCCTGACTCATGCCACAATACAAAATGATGGTTTCCCAAAGCTCCAGAATAAATGATGTAATAGAACCTAGATGATGTCCTTCTATTCATACTAAACTTGTGCTTGCCACAGAGAATGCAAACAGCACATAAGTTATGATATGGGTAAATGTGAAGAAAACTATGCTGATGCTTATTAGAGCTGACAATGCCCAAATTCAATATTCTTTACAGATACTGAAGTTACTTTGTCAACTCTTAACACTGCAGCAGTAACCTTGGCTGGTGTCTAGTTCCTTCACCCTCTGGCTTTTCCACACTTAACATTTCTCTTGTTTTTTCCCCCACTACTGACATTCACAGACACCCCTGTAGATTTAGAGGATCTGATGTCAATCATTTATTTTTGCAGAAGCTAGATGTCATTCCTCTCTCCTTTGTAGCCTTTCACTACACTTGTTAGTACTCTTCCTTCCCTAGTGAAGACTAATGGTTCTTATCAGGCTCTTTTAACTGTTTACTCTTTAAGATGCTAATAGACTATTTGTTGTTTTTTAATTTTTTTCTCCGCTATTCCTTTGAAACTTATCTACCCGCCTCCCTCTCTCCTTCCCTTATCTTATTCTTGATCTGGACTTCCAACACTCCAATCATCTGAAGAAGTGGGTTGTGCCCACAAAGCTCATGACACCATCTACAGGTTTTGTTAGTCTTTAAATGCTACTAGACTATTTGCTGTTTAAGTTTTTCCTTTTACAGACTAACTCGGCTATCCCTCTGAAACCCTGATTTCTGTTAATCTGTTATCAATCCTGTGAATTATCTTATTACTGTTGTTTATCTGCTAAGCAACAAGGTAAAACAAAGATATCTGCTCTGAAGACACTGCAGTCTGAACAGACAACATACAAAAAAGGGATGTCTTCAGCTGGCTCAAAGCCATTGTCTTCTTACCAGTGTGACTCTGTAATAAAATCTTCTTTTCCAAGAGCATGGCTAATGTGTATTTATATATTTATTTCAGTTGGTAGGATTGCTGGGTTCTGAGGGGGATGAAAGAGTGATCCTCTGATGATTCTGAGGTACTACTTCGATGTAGATGAAACAACTGCTTGCTGTCAGAGAGCAACTCTTTAGGGTAAAGGAATAAGTAGGACTGAACAGAAAATCTGCTTTCACAGAAATAGTTATCCCAAGGGAATGTTCCTTGCTTCAGAAGTGGTGGCTCTGGTAAGGGTTCTGCATATTCTTGGTTTTTGAGAGTATCTAACAATTGTAACAGCAGCTTTCTATTTCTCAGCTTTAGATTTATGTATTTGCAATTTCTTCATTCTTGAAGCAACAGCAGCATCGAGAACCAAAAGAGAGAGACAAGCTTCTAAAGTAGAAGATCTCCAGGGAGAGCAAAATTCTCAATTTAAAAATAAATGAGTTTGTGCGAATGCTATGATTCCTGCCAGTCTCAGGAATGACAAGTAGATAATCGCACAGTATGTTATATGAGCAGCACATCTACCATACATTCTGATTATATAATGCAATAAACCATTCAAGGAGGAGATGATAATTACAGATAACAATCAATGAAAATAAATGTTTTTGGTTTTGGTGACAGAAGCAAAAGCAAAAGATAGGGTTGTAGCCCACAAGTATCAACTTTTGAGACCAAATGTTTGCTGAAAAATGAAGAACTCACTTTACTTTTGGTAGTACCTTCCCACAGAAAATAGAGACAGAATAAGCAATTCAGGCATTTCCACAACAGGATCACAAAAAGAAATGCACATAAGATATTTCTTGTACTTGAAGCCCCAAATTATATACACCGGTACACGCACCAGGGCTCATCTTAGAAAAAATGGAGTCATGGGTGAAATTGCTATCCCCCCTCCCATAGGGCTCCCAGCATCAGGAATACCCGCATTGGCACTGCAGATGTCATGCTACTGGGAGGTTGAAGAGAGGACTTGTGAGA